TTCCGTAGCGCGTTCCCTCGGCACGTCCCGCGGTGCGTCCCCGTGGCACGTCCCCTGGCACGTCGCTTGGCGCGTCCCTTGGGACGTTCCGCGTCGCGTCCTCCTGGCATGCATCGCAGTTCAGCACGGCGTAGCACAGCACAGCCTTCGGCTGGGTACATCAAGATCGATACACTCAGCTTTGCATTTGCCCGTCAGCCAATCAGGTGTCTTTGAAACGTTGCCACGCGTTACACTTCTAGATTCCTTTCCAGGTTCGTGGTCGATCATGTTGACCCTGACCCCACCGATTTGCGTGAGGGTTGCCACCGGATTTCAAGACATGTGGCAAATCCCATGTGTTTTTCCCGGAAAGGGCGTCGGCCCAGGGTTCTCTTTTAGTATGTAAACATGTCCCCGGTGCCCAACTTGAAGGAGGCCGGCGGATTCTTTCCCTGATAAATATCGAGGTCGAAGGAGGCCGGCGGATTAAAATTTGAGGATGTCTCAGGCGAAACGCTTGTTTTTGAAATCCCGATCGATAAATCACAGGGTGAGGGACACCTCAGCACGACCACACCCCCAGCATGACCACACCCCAGCACGACCACGCCCAGCACGACCACGCCCCAGCACGACCACACCCCAGCACGACCACACCCCAGCACGACCACACCCCAGCACGACCACACCCCAGCACGACCACACCCCAGCACCAGCACGACCACACCCCAGCACGACCCGATCGATAAATCACAGGGTGCGGACCACCCCAGCACGACCACACCCCAGCACGACCCCACCCAGCACGACCCCACCCCAGCACGACCACGCCCCAGCACGACCACACCCCAGCACGACCACACCCCAGCACGACCACACCCCAGCACGACCCCACCCCAGCACGACCCCACCCTAGCACGACCACACCCCAGCACGACCACACCCCAGAACGACCACACCCCAGCACGACCCCACCCAAGCACGACCCCACCCCAGCACGACCACACCCCAGCACGACCACACCCCAGCAGGACCCCACCCCAGCACGACCCCACCCCAGCAAGACCACACCCCAGCACGACCACACCCCAGCACGACCTCACCACAGCACGACCACACCCCAGCACGACCACGCCCCAGCACGACCACGCCCCAGCACGACCACGCCCCAGCACGACCACCCCCCAGCACGACCACCCCCCCAGCACGACCACCCCCCAGCACGACCACCCCCCAGCACGACCACACCCCAGCACGACCACTCCCCAGCACGACCACACCGCCTTGGTTGAGTGGTTGCCTGTCGTCGTGGAATGTTTCGTGGGGTGTCTCGTGGAATGTTTCGCGGGGTGTCTCGTGGAATGTTTCGTGAGGTGTCTCGTGGAATGTTTCGTGAGGTGTCTCGTGGGATGTTTCGTGAAGTGTCTCGTGGGATGTTTCGTGAGGTGTTGCCCAGTTGGGTATCGTGAAAACGTGTCCATGCTCCACATGTCTATATCCCTTTCCGGGTTCGTGGGTCCATCATGTTCGACCCTGACCACGCCGATCTGCATGAGGAGTGCCACCGAATTTCAAGACATGAGGCAAATCTTTTTTGTTTTTGGACCCTGACCCCACCGATCTGCGTGAGGTGGGCCACCGAATTTCAAGACATGGGGCACATCCCATGTGTTTTTGACCCCGACCCCACCGATCTGCAAGAGGGGTGCCACCGAATTTCAGAAATGTAGTAAATCCCTTGTGTTTGTGGACCCTGACCCCGCCGATCTGCGTGAGGGGTTCCACCGAATTTCAGAAATGTGGCAAATCCCTTGTTCCCGGAAAGGGCGTTTGCCCAGGGTTTTCTTTTAGTTTGTCAACTGCCCCCGGTGCCATGACTGAGGTGGGGCGGCGGATTCTTTTCCTGGTAATTGTCGAAGTCGAGGTGGGCCAGCGTATTAAAATTTGAGGATGTCTCGAGCAAAACGCTTGTTTTTTGTCAGAATGTGTTGCGGCCTGAGCGAAACGCGGGTTTTGCAGAGTTGGGGGATGTCTCGAGCGAAACGCTTGCTTTTCACACTTTGTTGAGGATGTCTCGAGCGACACGATGGTTTTGCATAGTTGGGGCATCTAACATGGCGTCGGGCCCAACGCCGAATTATGAGGAAACGCACGGGGGGCCGAAAAGCGCTAGCCGAACACATGTCCCAAAACAGAAAAGTTCTGTTTCTTGCTCTGAACAGGGGGTTGCGCTTTAGGGGCCTCTCCAGAGAAGACATTGCGAGGATGTCTCGAGCGGGAGCGCGAATTCAGCGTATCCAAGTCACGCAGGAGGGTATCTAACATGGCTGTCCCGAGCTGGAACCACGTGTTTTTTCATGCTCAGGCCACCCAGGGCGATCTCTAATATGATTGTCCCGAGCTGGAGCCACGTATTTTTACGTGTCAAGGCCACCAGCACGACGCTTGTCCCCAGCACGTTCTGTAGCGCGTCTCCTTGGCACGTCCCGCGGTGCGTTCCCGTGGCACGCCCCCTGGCACGTCGCTTGGCGCGTCCCTTGGAACGTTCCGCGGCGCGTCTTCCTGGCATGTTCCCTTGTCATTTAGTTCTGGGGAAGCTACTATGTGGACTATGTGCTCAGGCAGCTCGAGCTTAAGATCCACATCAGTTCGGTCAGGACTCGGATGCAACGGAGGACTCGATCCAGAACACTATAGAGCACAATCGCGGCATGGCACATCGCAGTTTAGCACGGCGCAGCGCAGCACAGCACAGCCCTCGGCACGGTACGTCGAGATCGATGCATTCATTCAGCATTGCAACCTGGCACGTTATTTGGCACGTTCCGTGGCGCGTCCTGTGGCGAGTCCCCCTGGCACGTCGCGCGGCGCGTCCCCTGGCACGTCCCGTGGCACGTCCATTGGCACGTTCCGTAGCGCGTCCCCTTGGCACGTCCCGCGGTGCGTCCCCATGGCACGTCCCTTGGCACGTCGCTTGGCGCGTCCCTTGGAACTTTCCGCGGCGCGTCTTCCTAGCATGCCCCCCCTGTGAATTAGCTCTGGGGCAGCTACTATGTGCTCAGGCAGCTCGAGCTTAAGATCCAGATCAGTTCGGTTAGGACTCGGATGCAAATGAAGATTCGATACACAACACTCTCGAGCACAATCGCGGCATGGCACATCGTAGTTCAGCACGGCGCAGCACAGCACAGCCTTCGGCACGGTACATCAAGATCGATGCACCCGGCATTGTAATTTGGCACGTTTTTTGGCACGTTTTTTGGCACGTTCTTTGGCACGTTCTTTGGCACGTTCCGTGGCGCGTCCCGTGGCGAGTCCCGCTGGCACGTCGCGCGGCGCGTCCCTTGGCACGTCCCGTGGCACGTCCATTGGCACGTTCCGTAGCGCGTTCCCTCGGCACGTCCCGCGGTGCGTCCCCGTGGCACGTGCCCTGGCACGTCGCTTGGCGCGTCCCTTGGGACGTTCCGCGGCGCGTCCTCCGGGCATGTATCGCAGTTCAGCACGGCGCAGCACAGCACAGACCTCGGCACGGTACATCAAGATCGATACACTCACTCAGCGTTGCAACTTGGCACGTTCCTTGGCACGTTCCGTGGCGAGTCCCCCTGGCGAGTCCCCCTCGCACGTCGCGTGGCGCGTCCCCGTGGCACGTCCCCTGGCACGTCGCTTGGCGCGTCCCTTGGAACGTTTCGCGGCGCGTCATCCTGGCATGTCCCCCTGTCAATCAGCTCTGGGGCAGCTACTAGTCATTTGCTCAGGCAGCTCGAGCTTAAGATCCAGATCAATTCGGTCAGGACTCGGATGCAAACCAGGACTCGATCCAAAACGCTATAGAGCACAATCGCGGCATGGCACATCGCAATTTAGCACGGCTTTGTTCAGCACAGCCCTCGGCACGGTACATCAAGATCGATACACTAACCATTGCATTTGCCCGTCGCCAAATCAGGTGTCTTTGAAACGTTGCCATGTCTTACATTTCTAGATTCCTTTCCGGGTTCGTGGGTCGATCATGTTTTTGTACCCTGACCCCGCCGATCTACGTAAGGGGTGCCGCCGAATTGCAGAAATGTTACAAATCCTATTTGTTTTTGGACCCTGACCCCACCGATCTGCGTGAGGGGTGTCAATTTCGACCCCCCCAGAAATTCTGAGACCCCTAGGAGGTTTTCGGCTCCCCCCCCTCGCGCGGTCTACAACAAGGAACGACAAGCAACACGAAGCAGAATTGTAACAGTGGAAACTGGAACTGGCGCAGGGAACCGCAAAGCCTGGTCCTGCAGCCAGGTGGCCCCACAAGGGGGCCGGCGGGTTTCGTATAATAAGTTCATTCAAGGACATAAATGGATCCACTGGGCTTTCACACGTGGGACATTGGAACCGCGCAACACAGAAATATAATCCGATCCAATTAGATCCGTTGGTGCTGTCACATTTTCACTCCGAGAGAAAAGCTGGGGCCTGAGGATGTATATATGATCCACGTCCAGGCCCCCTCCCCAACCATGCTGATGGCATCGGCCCCCCCCCACCACGATGGGTCTCCCCCCCCACTGTGGGAGTGGTGTGGTGCTGTGAGTGTGGCGTGTGTGGCGTGGTACTGTGGTGCTCCAGGAGAGCTCCGGAGGTCGTCGTCGTCGCCGCCGCCGTCGTCGTCGTCGGAGGGCTCCAGATGTCGGCGCCGCCGCCGCCGTCGTCGTCGTCGTCGACTTCGTCGAGGTCGTCGTCGTCGTCGCCGTTGTCGCCGCCGTCGTCGCCGTCGTCGTCGTCGTCGTCTTCGTTGCCATCGTCGTCATCGTCGTCGTCGTCATCGTCGTCGTCGTCGTCGTCGTCGTCGTCCCCCCCATCCCATTTGGGGGGCCCGTGGGCCCTCGGCCCAGGATCATGTGCGGCTCCCATTTTGCCGGCCCAGGCTGCAGAGGCCAGCGGAAGATCGGGCGCGGTCGCGGGGCATCGGCGCCCCCCCCGTGCGGGGTGGCTGCCGCGGGGCCTGCAGCGGCTCGCGGGGCGCCCGAGAGGTCCCGGTCAGCAGCCCGATGGGCGCCTCCCCGAAGTTCGGGACGCAGGCCGGCCGAGCCCGCCGCGCGTCCTTCGAGTGACCTCACGCTGGAGTGACCCTTGGTGCGGGCCCACTGGGGCCACCCGGGCGCTGCGCGCGAAGCGGTAGCGGCGGCTTGCGCGCTTGGCTTTGGCCCCTTCGCCCCAGCCATTTCCCCTGAAGCCGCGCACCAAGGTCATTCTTGCGTCGGGTCACTCTTGCGTATAGCCGAGTCCTGTCCCCTGGCCGGAGAGGGCAGGTCGGCAGCGAAATCCGAATCCTACCCTCGCTGGTCATCGATTCATTGGGGCCAGGAGTGTGTCCACTCTGCTATGTCATCTTTGTTCACTACTCCGTGGCAAATGGCGGCCCAAGCACAGTGTAGTTTTTTGGGAGAGCCGGCCAGAAAAGCAAACACTGTACGTTGTCCCGTGGCGTTTCTGTGAAGCCCAATGGGACAGGGCCCAGATATCTTAGTGTATATGCGCGTGGTTCCCGATTCAGGCAACTCGATGGGCGGCGGGGTAGGGTTCGGAACTTGGCGAACACATTGCGAATTACGAACCCCACACCAGACTCCCACCGATTCAGGAGAACGTGGAGGTAGGGTTCGGATGGCGCCATCTGAGAGGGGCAACGTTTTTGGGGGATAAGGCTCGAGGTTTTCGGTTCGAAGTTCGAGGTTTTCGGGCGTTTTCGTCGGTTCTCGGGTTCCCAACTTCGGGCCAGTCGCGCAGACGTGTCCGTCGGTTCACGGCGGTTTCCCGGCCTCGGTGTGCTCTCTCCAGCAGCTGCGCCTCGCCGAGAGCGTGAATCAAACGGGGCGCGCGAGACCTCCCGAACGGTTGCCGCAGAGCGGAGTTATGACCCGAAGTCCAGACGGCAAAGTGAGGGGCTCGGGGGGGGCCGAACGAAATGGGGGGGATAGGGAAAGGGGGGGTTACGAAATCTGCTGCATGCAGCTGGTTTCGGTCGGCCCCGCCGCCGGGCCCATTCCTCGATACGCCTCCCGGCGCCGGGAGGCGCCAGGAAAATCAGCTACGCGAGCTGATTCTCCCCCCCCCTTTGCTATCCCCCCCTTTCGCCCGGCCCGATCCGGGGGGGATGCATCGTTCCCCAACCCCTTTTTGCCATTGCCCATGGATCGCCGAGAGGGGCCCGACAGCCCGCCCTGCGCAAGAACGTACGGTTTCGCTATCGGGGGCCTTTCGCCGATCTGTCGGCGAGGTATCGCCGATTCCAGATCGAGGCTTCCCCCCCTTAAGGCAGGCACGAAGAGCGACGGTTGCCAAATGGGGACTGGGATGGTGGGGAGGAATGAGGAGGGGCGGCATCCAGTTGGGGCGGGCGTCTGTGTGGGAAGGCGCGATGGTTGTGAAGATGGGGAAGGGTAGGCCTTCGTTGTAATGTCATGGGGGGTTCGTCAGATTCGTCAGCAGCGCGCTTGGGCGTCAATTGCGGGATAGACGTTGCAGCAGTGTTCTTGTCTTCCTATATGTATGTTAACGATTCTCTTCGTGCTTTGAAATTTGTCAGTTCGGCTCCCGTGCCACAGCTCGGGTCGCGAGCAGCAGTGCCTGCCAGATGCCTCTGTGCAGCTGCTCGGACGCAGCTGAAAGCGTACTCCACCCAGGTCAGCTCGCTGGAAGGCTTGGTCGAGGTGCCCCCTTGGTCGAGGCCTGCTCGCCACAAGGGGTGGGGGGGGCCCACCCCAGCTGCTCCGACTCGCCAAATACCAGGCCGCCCTTGGGACGCCTCGCGGCGCGCCTGGCACGTGACCGTTACCCCGCCACGGGTGCAAGCCTGCATGACGGACCAATCGCAAACCATGGGTCCCAACCACAACAGACAGGGACACATCTCAACGGACCGCAAAGTTGATGAGTACCAATTGCAATCCGCCATCTTGGGCCATACGCTAGGATTGTGATTGCGGAGCGTTTTTGAGAAGTCACCAGAATCCCTGGAATTCTGCAGTTCCCCACACGTAAGGTGTATATAGTTCGTATTAGGTCGTCTTCATTTGGATATTGTGCAACTTTCATTTGGGAGTTGCGTAGGTTCGTAAGCGAATTGAATACAGGGACTATGAGAAGTGCGAGCGGTCGCCAGAGACTTGTACGTTTCACATGAAATTTGCAGATCATCCCAGTGAGAAGCGCATGTTCTTGTTGACAAAATCAGATGTGTCATATTATATTGAGCCACTGGCATTTGGAACGTGCTTAGTTGTCAGATGCGAAATTTGAAGTGTGCGCATCCATGTGGGTGAACAGTGGAACTTACATACGATAGGTGTACGTTTCTTGCTCACGAGAGTTGTATAGTGTCTATCCAAGGGTTGTCAACTTGAAGATCAGTGTTGGCCCGGCTTGTGTCCACATGCAAATTGTCGAACAACGGTAAATTCCTCGTTGCAGTTGTAAGGTGCAAGTGAGACGCGTATAGTTGAAGCGCCGAAATGTAGAGGCATCGAAGTATACGTGTGCAGGTGTCATGTGAGAGCAGTGAGTTTGGGACCTGGTAATTGTTCTGATTTCGCGTTGGGTTGTGCTGGTGTTCACAGGGGTAGTGCCTAGTTGTCGTATGGGGGACGCACTGGCGCCACACTATATTGCACTTGCTTCAAATAGGAAGTGTAGACCTTCCACATGAGGAGCATAGAGTTTTCATTCGTAAGTTGTTTATTATCCACATGGGAATTGTAGTGCTGTCCTGTGGAAAGTTTTACATTCACCGCACGGGGACCGACCAGACATCGCATGATACAAGTACTGTGCTCATTTGGTAGGCGCGCTGTCCCTTTGAGAGCTGCCAGTTGAACTGTAGCTAGATGCCGCGTGAGGTGCGTATTGGTCCCAGGTGGAAGTTGTTCAGGTTTCCAATGAGGCCTGTGCTGGTTTGCCCACACGGGGACTGTATAGGTTTCGTATTGAAGTAATCTAGTTTTCTTTTTGGACCGTCTCGTTTTGAATTTTGACTAGGTATGACAGCCGTTTAGGTGCCATGCTCCTGTGACAATCTCATTCGAGCATTGGCTAAATGTTGCAATGGAGTTGCAACGTGCGTAACAATGGGGGAAATGTTACCAAAACGGTGAAGCATGACTAATGCCAATCGTTGCCGCGGTGGTAGTCGTATGAGCAGTAGTATTAGTCGTAGCATTCGGAGTCGGAGCAGTACCAGTAGTAGTAGCAGTCGCAGACGTCGATGTTGTAATCGCGATGCTAGCTTGGATTCTTATAATTATTGTTTCTAATAATGTGTAGCATTATTATTATTAGTAGTAGTAGTAGTAGTAGTAGTAGTAGTAGTAGTAGTAGTAGTTGTTGTGGTAGTAGTAGTAGTAGTAGTAGTAGTAGTAGTAGTAGTAGTAGTAGTAGTCGTAGTCGTAGTCGTAGTCGTAGTCGTCGTAGTCGTAGCCGTAGCCGTAGCCGTAGTAGTAGTAGTAGCAGTAGTAGTAGTAGTAGTAGTAGTAGTAGTAGAAGTCGTCGTCGTAGCCGTAGTCGTAGCTGTAGTAGTAGTAATAGTAGTGGTAGTAGTAGTAGTAGTAGTAGTAGTAGTAGTAATAGTAGTAGTAGTAGTAGTAGTAGTAGCAGTAGTAGTAGTAGTAGTAGTAGCAGTAGTAGTAGTAGTAGTAGTAGTAGTGGTGGTGGTGGTGGTGGCGGTGGTAGTAGTAGTAGCAGTAGTAGTAGTAGTAGTAGTAGTAGTAGTAGTAGTAGTAGTAGGAGTAGTAGTAGTAGTAGTAGTAGTAGTAGTAGTAGTAGTAGTAGTAGCAGTCGTAGTGGTGGTGGTTGTGGTGGTGGCGGTAGTAGTAGTAGTAGTAGTCGTTGTAGTAATAGCAGTAGTAGCAGTAGTAGTAGTAGTAGTCGTCGTCGCCGTCGTCGTCGTCGTCGTCGTTGTCGTCGTCGTCTTCGTCGTCGTCGTCGTAGTAGCAGTAGTAGTTTTAGTAGTTGTTGTAGTAATTGTAGTAGTAGTAGTAGTAGTAGTAGTAGTAGTAGTAGTAGTAGTAGTAGTAGTAGTAGTAGTAGTAGTAGTAGTAGTAGTAGCAGTAGTGTAGCAGTAGCAGTAGCAGTAGCAGTAGTAGTAGTAGTAGTAGTAGCAGTCGTAGTAGTCGTAGTAGTGTAGTAGCCGTAGTAGTAGTAGTAGTAGTAGTAGTAGCAGTAGTAGTAGTAGTAGTAGTAGTCGTAGTAGTAGTAGTAGTAGTAGTAGTAGTAGTAGTAGTAGTAGTAGTAGTAGTAGTAGTAGTAGTAGTAGTAGTAGTAGTACTAGTAGTAGTAGTAGTAGTAGTAGTAGTAGTAGTAGTAGTAGTAGTAGTAGTAGTAGTAGTAGTAGTAGTAGTAGTAGTAGTAGTAGTAGTGCAGGGTGTAGTAGCAGTAGTAGTCAGTAGTAGTAGTAGTAGTAGTAGTAGCAGTAGTAGTAGTAGTAGTAGCAGTATTTTCAATACGGGTGCAGGGTGGCACAATTCGCAGGGCATCACTATCTATAACGCGGTTCGACAATCGACGGCTGAATTCCGCAGGAAGATTGGCGCAGATACCGATACTGATATTTCCCAAGTTTCTCACGACATTCGCTTTGCCAGAGACCTCGAAGTGGATCGCACCGTGGCGACGAGAACTGTTATTTGATCAGGTGACGGCCCATCAATTGGCGGGTTCGGTTCATATCATACCTTGTAACCTTTTCGGGAGAATGGGGGCATGTTTTCAGGGATGGGCGTTTGCATCCAGGATTCCAGCCCTTGAGGAGATCTTTAGAAATTCCAGCTCAGCCATGCCCGCCCGTGTGCTCTCACGGACGGATGGCCCTTGGAGATCCCAGGGATCTGTCTTCTTCTGAAAGTGTGGCCGACTCTCCCTGCTGGCGTTAGAATGAGGGGCTATTGTCCTGGCCGTGCGGGGAGGCTTTGGCGGAGGTCGTCGGGTGGAGGCCAGGCGGAGCTAGAATAATCGGTCGACGGGCGTAGGAGGTGAGACGGGTGAGGGTCGAGCGAAAAGCTTAGGTGGCAGGTCGAAGCAGCTCGCCTTTGCCCCACGCGCAGTCTACTCGCACTCGCCGCGCGTTCGCGCGCCCGAAGAGCAGTCGAAGAGGGCATCCAGGCAGTAGAATGCGGTCGAGTGGCGGGGCTCCGCTGCGACTTCCGCGCGCGCCGCCCTCCGCCTCCCCAGATGGTGCCTGTCATGATGCAGGCTGGGCGGCACGCAGGGGGGACTTTCATGGGTCTGCTCTGAGGTCAGAGCTTGCACACATCCACAGCCTGGGGAAGCGATGTTCCATGATCCCAGGGTCCCAGGAGGCAGTGGATGTTGCAAGTTACAGGCCCCGGAGGCCTCAACGATGCACACATCCATGACCTCCATGGAGCATCGGCTCCCGGCTCCATTCGGGCCTCGGATCAGTTGAGGAAGGCACACAAGTGCGGACAGAAGGAATGAGGACGACGACCAGCACGCGGATCTCGTCCAACTTGAAAGCGGTTCGTTCTCGGTATCTTTACGGGCGTCGTCCGCCTTTGTAGTTGAGAAGCGCAGGCCCAACAGCGGTCGCTTTCGGCTTTGAACAACATCGTGGTTTAACATCGTCCCAGTGTTTGCTGCGTCCTTCTCAGGCGTCCAAGTCTGCCTGTGAATTGGCGCAACTGTTGAGAGGCTGACATTCGACACCCACGCGTACAGAGACGAAGGGACCATGAGCCATATCATATCCGGGTGGTTTTGCATATCAGTTGAGCTCTCCATTTGACCAGCAGATAAACATTCATACCATATCTACCATTGCCGATCCGAAACATTATCTGAAGTTAGCAACATGGAGCACCGCAAGCAAGAGCAAGCAAACAGATATCGCAACAGCGGCGCCGATCAATCAGGCAAGTCCGCACACAGTGCCGATACATGCGATCAGCCGAGCAAGAACAAGGCCGCCATGCAAACAACATTGTGGGCATGGAGTCGTGGAAGGACGGTTGCGAGGCCGCGTCCAAGCAGCGACGATTGAAAGCAGGCAAAGAAGCAATGACGCAACAAGGAGTCACGTAAGCAAAAGGGCAAGTACGCAGACGATGCAGATAGCGAGCGAGCGACGCAAGCGAATGACCGAAGTAGTCGAGGCAATATGCGAGAACAACACCAGCCGTCCCAAGGCAAGCTCGGTTGCGTTACATTAGGAGGCTTATTCAGCGACCTCTGGCTTATTCTGCAACTGTGCCTGGGTTGTGGGGTGCAATATTAGGTGGGCGCATGGGTAGGAATACCATGGGCTTCTAGGATGTGAGCCTCTCGGGAGCCGTTTGGGAGTTCGGAGTTCCGTTTGGCGGTCTCCTGGGAGCCTTTGGGGATGTCAGAGGAGCCCGTCTGGAGCCCTGGGGACCACATTGACGCGGATGGCGCCCCGGGGGCCGTGCGAGTTCCTCTCGGACCTTCGTCCTTTCCAGAGTGCTCGCTGTCGCGCAGTCTGTGGTATTGCCGCGCGCATCCCTGGCAGCCCATCCAGTCACGATGCCCAGCGGAGCTGCCCCGAACTCTTGCAGGTCTCTTGGGGGCGTTTCGGGGCCTTTTTTGCGGTCTCCTGGGGGGCCTCTTTGGAGCGTGCTGCGTGCCTCTGAGGGGGCTTCGTGCGGCCTCGTCGGGGCCGCTTTTGGAGGGGGTCCCTCCTGTGGGACTCTTGGGGGCTTCGTAGGGGCCTCTTGGGGTAACTATCTTGGGCTCCTCTAAGGGTCCCCGTCGCGCCCTTTGGAAGCTTTGTGGGTCGTCTTTTGGCCATTTTGGAGGCGATCGCGGCCCCCAGGAGGCGAGCATGGCCCCCAAAGCAAAGCTTGTTTCATTGCGTTCTCGTTGAGGCCATCCTGGACGCTCTGACTAGCAGCGAGTGCCCGTGTCCAGACCCAGGGGGAGAGGGTAGGGGGAGGGGTCAAGCTGCCCACCCGCCCGCAAGCCGTCTTGCTCACTCCCACCCGCCCTCCCAACATATACGTAACACCGGGAGTCAGCATATCGCGTAAGAACGCCGCAGACGCCACGGGTTCCAAATGCACCAAACCCGGGAGACCCAAGCGTGCCAGGCGCGCCAGGTGCAGCACGTGTTCCACGTGCGCCCAGTGTTCCACGTGCTCCAGCCGCGCCAGGTGCGCCAGCCACTGGGAATCAATAGGCGGAGCTTTCTTGGCCAATTTTGGAGCCATGTGGAGGTTTCGAAGTCCCATCGGAAACGGTAAGGCGAAAAGGCAGCAGCCGTTGATGTGTCAAACCAGTCGGTCGACCACCTGCGCCCAGAAGGCAGGTGGGATCTGCTGGCACCTCAACCGTCCTTTTAAAATACCCCTGGATGGAAGAGGAAACGTCTTAAACAACCTGAGCTCAGAGGGCAGATATGATTTTGAAGTCGGGCCTACTAGTGAGCAGCATGTTTGACCGCATTGGCAGGCTGTCGATATTGCTCCTGAATGCAAACAGATACACGGTGATATCCTTGTGGTGGAGCTTCGACGCGGTTGGAATAGAGGATCAGTTGATGCGAATCATTCCAGCTTGGCGTATGTTTTATCAGATCTAGGGGGAAATAGTTGAGAGTCTTGATTTGGCCAGGCGCCATCAGCCGAGACGGCGGCAATGAGCTCACTGCAGGCAAACATCGTTGAAGGCACAACATGTTGAAAGCAGATTTTGGGGTATTTCAATATTTGTTTTCAGTGCTTGCCTTCGGTTTGCAACTGTGCCCGCTGCTTTTTGAGGCGGAGGTGGCGGAGGGCATGCTTTGTGCAGTCGTGCCGAGGTATAAGATCGAGGCGGGTTCGAGGAGGGTGCCCTAGTGTTCTACGTGTTTGTCGGACGTTCTCGTGCATCTTGGGGAGGGCACCCTGAGATGCTCTGCGTGTTTTGGCTGGTCGATGGTATCATGATTTTTGATGAGTGTCATTATGTCCTAGGTCCGACTCTATTGCAGTCTCTCGGGCGCTGGAGGCCCCCAAGCCACCTCCCCCCCGTTCCCCCAGATGACGTCACGCTATTTCGCCTACATGCGCACTGACTTCGTACGGATTCGTCGAGGATGTCCTAAGATCTCCAGCGGCCTCCCGCTGTGATGTGATCGGGGGGTGAACTCCCCCCCCCTCCCCGGATGACGCCCGGTATCGCGAATAATAAATAACAGGTTCCTGCTTCTCAGAAGGCGCGGGCCTTGTCTAAAGATCTAGGGCCGGCGCCTTCTAAGAAACAGCCTCTTTCTAAGAAGCTGTCCCTTCTCCCCCTGCCCCGCTGCCCTTGAGCACGCCGCCTAAAGCGGGGTGGACGAGGAGCAGGAAGGGATGAGGAGGAGGGACGTAGGAGATCGGGAGGAGGAGCATGAACGCATCCCGGGAGAGGTGTGGGGAGTAGCGGTATCAGCACCTGTTGGTTTCCCTTGAGCAGGCGCGGAAGAGGACGAGGAGAGGGAGCCGAGGCAGGTGGAGGGGAGGAGGTGTCGGTTGGACGGCGGAGGAGGAGACGGGGGGACGGAGCCGAGGGTTCGACGAGGGAGGTCGGCGCGGAGGAGGCGACGAGGTGTGCGCCCCCCATTTGGCGGGCCAAGGGGGGGCGACCCACATCCCCCCCCCCGCTCGGGGGCGTCAAGGCGGGGAGGATCCAGGGTGGTTGGATATCGTGCCCAGGGCCAAGGCATCTCTCGGGTTTCGTGACCCCGCTTTTCTTCCTCCAACAAACAAGCGACACCACCCCACCTACGGCCCTCCATGTTACGCCACGGCCCATCGGGGGGCCGCAGCGTATTGTTTCGAGACGCTCCCTGCCCCCCCCCCCCCCCCTCGAGACGATCCTTGGCCCACCCCCCCTCGAGACGTTCCCTGGTCCGCATCATTTTCTTCCTTCGAGGCGTCACCTGGCCTGCCCCCCCCCCTCGTCCGCGCACGTGTCATGGGCCATGATTTTCTCTCTTTGGGCGGCGCGCTGAAGGGGGGAATTGAGACGCAACCGCCGCCGCCGACGACGACGACGAAGACGAAGACGAAGACGAAGCCGACGAAGACGAGCGGCGGGGCCTTTCATTCGAATCTGGCAAGCCGCGCCGCGCGGAGGGTGGCGGCGGGATGCATCAGCAGGGCTCGGGGCAGCCGGGCGGCGCGTGCTTCGCCCAGGGGCCGCCGCCCCAGCTATGCCCCTTCGCCGCCCCCTGCGGGGGGGGGGATCAGAAGTCGGAGGAGGAAGGAGGGTGCCGATGCCCTCGTCGTCACAGCTGCATTCGCCTCGCAATGCAGGTCTGGACGCGCCCCAGCAGTGGTCCGAGGGGGGGAGCAGTATCGGCGCTCTGTTGTTAGAGTCCACAGACTTGCACGATCGGAATGGGTAACCGCAGGACGTCTTGAATCCTGCCGTGCCCCCCCCAAAAAAACAAAAAAGCTCCTGTTTAGCATTAAAGTCTGCGCGTCCCTTGAGCCCCCCGCCTTCTTATCCCCCTTCCTATTCTCTTATCATATTCCTGATTTTGTTCCTCCTCCTCCTCCTATGCATCGTCGTCTCCCCCCCTTCTTCGCCCCCCCCCGTAATCTTATGTTCCTACCGCTGCTTGCCGTGATGGCCATTGTTGGTGGTTGTTTTGCCAGGCGGATAACATCCCCCGGGCTACCCTTCACAATGGTGGTAGTAGTAGTAGTAGTAGTAGTAGTAGTAGTAGTAGTAGTAGTAGTAGTAGTAGTAGTAGTAGTAGTAGTAGTAGTAGTAGTAGTATGGTAGTAGTAGTAGTAGTAGTAGTAGTAGTAGTAGTAGTAGTAGTAGTAGTAGTAGTAGTAGTAGTAGTAGCAGTAGTAGTAGTAGTAGTAGTAGTAGTAGTAGTAGTAGTAGTAATAGTAGTAGTAGTAGTAGTAGTGGTGGTAGTAGTAGTAGTGGTAATCATAGTCGTAGTCGTATGCGTAGTCGCAGTCGCAGTCGCAGTCGTTGTCGTAGTAGTGGCCCCAGCAGCAATAGTATTAGTAGTAGTAAGAGTAGTAGTAGTAGTAGTAGTAGTAGTAGTAGTAGTAGTAGTAGTAGTAGTAGTAGTAGTAGTAGTAGTAGTAGTAGTAGTAGTAGTAGTAGTAGTAGTAGTAGTAGTAGTAGTAGTAGTAGTAGTAGTAGTAGTAGTAGTAGTAGTAGTAGTAGTAGTAGTAGTAGTAGTAGTAGTAGTAGTAGTAGTAGTAGTCGTAGTCGAAGAAGAAGAAGTAGTAGTGGTAGTAGCAGTAGTTTTCGTAGTAGTAGTAGTTGTAGTAGTAGTAGTAGTAGTAGTAGTAGTAGTAGTAGTAGTAGTAGTCGTAGTCGTAGCCGTCGTCGCCGCAGTAGTAGTAGTAGTCGTCGTCGTCGTAGTAGTAGTAGTAGTAGTAGTAGTAGTATTCAGTCTGGTGGCGGCAGCGGCAGTTAGGAGCATTAGTTCCATTCGGCATCATTGTGGGAGTGTCTCCCACCCCTCCGTGAGCCATCCCCCCAACCCCGCAAAGGCGAATGGAACCACCTTCTGTGAAGTTCCTTGCGCCAAGCATTTTTGTAGGATATCACCATAACTGCCCGCAATAGATCCTGCCAGACAGCAGTGTAAGATATCGTTGGAAGTGTCGGAACATGCTAATACTATGTGTTCGTCGCCCCCGCCAGGGGCGACGCGCGCGCGGAGAAATCTTGTAGTATAAGCTTCGTGACGGTCGCTTGCTGGCCACACCGCTCGGGAAACGGTACACTACAAGATGGGTGCAGTCGGTCCGAATTAGTAGGTCGACCCTGCCAGATCAAAGGTGCCTCCATGCCTCCCACATTATTGTAGCAAAATGTGGCCCTAGGAAGGGTCTCGTGACCTCTCGTGTGCCCTGTCCAATCAAGTCCAGATGTACACTGTATGTTCGGGTCGGGCGCACGCTTCAGAGGATGGCACATCGCACAGTCAAAACACAAAGTAAGGACGCACAGATGTCCTTAGGGTACCTTTGCGTGCTTGCCTCTGCGGCCCGTCCTTTGCTGTCTTCACTGGCCGCCCTTCAGGGTGTTGGCGGTCCGCCGCCCAAGAAGAGCCAATTCCGGCGTCCAAGGCCCTTGCGTCTTTACCGACCTTCCTTATCATAGGTTCCGACCGTACAGTCGGCCCAGATTAGTAGGTCGACCCTGCCAAATCAAGGGTACCCTTGTGTCCTGTGTCTCGCGACCCATGCTTGCTACATGCCTGCGGCAATGTGGCCCTCGGAAGGGTCCTGTGTCCTCTCGCGTGTCCTGTCCAGTCGAGTCCGACTGTAGGTTCCGACTGTGTTATGTCTGCCTGCGTCCCACGGGCAGGCACCCGCCGCTGCCTCGGCGGACCATGCCTCGAGCCCCGCCCCTTCGGCCACGGGCCTTGGGCCGAGGACGCCACCGTGGGCGCCCGAGGGTCCCCGCCCTCGAGCTCGGGGGCTGCCAGAGGTGCCCACTGGTCCTGGGCAGGGCTCGTTTCGGTTCCTTCGGGGAAGAAAAAACACCATAAACATAAACTTTTGGCGCTCTGCGAGGATTTCTCGGATCCGTGCTGGGCCCCCCGGCGGCGCCTCCGGCGCCGCCCCCGGCGCGCTCCGCGAAAAGTTTCTGTTCATGGCGTTTTCTCGTCTTCTGTTCCTCTAGTTCGATCCGATTCGACTTCGATGGCCTCCGATTCCGATTCGATTCGGCTCGGGGTTCCGATGTGGGTTCCGATGTCTTGACGGAGGCACACTAGCCTTCCGATGTCCGCCGATCCGACTTTTCCCGACGCTGCTGCCGATTTCCGCCGATCCGATGCATGTCGCTCGCCGATCTTACTTATATCATCGAGTCGATTCTGGGCTCTCCTGCCCAAGGTGCCCCCAGCCTTTCGCTCCATTTTCGGCGGCGAGCGAGGGGGGGAAATGAGAAGGAGAAGGCCTTCTCAGAAGGCTGCAGGACTTCTCAGAAGCCCTCGCGCCTTCTGAGAAGTTTCCCGTGCCATCGGGGATCAGGATTACAAGACTTCCCAGAAGGCCGGGAGACTTCCGAGCCTTTGAGAAGGCCCGCCACTCCTCCTTTCCCCCCGGGCTCACCGCTGAATTTTGGAGCCTCTAGGCCCCGTGGGCCTCGTGAGGGTCCTCGGGGCACTCCGGAGTCCGTGGGGTCCTCCGCGGGAATCCCGGGGGCACCTTGGGGCCATTGCTGCGCCTGGCTGCTTTTTGCACTGCGGTGTCGTGCGCTGGTTCGCACTGCGTTGCACTGCGCTGCTCTTTTCGGAGGTGGATAGACCTCCTACCCTGACACGTCGCTTAAGGAATTTGCCGTTTTCGGTTCGCGAGAGGGCGTCGCGGCCGTCATGTTTGCGGGTCCAGGTCCGTCGGTTTCGGTCCAGGTCGTTTTCACTACGGGGAGGTTTACTCAAGGGAGGTTTGTCCAACGCCGATCTACACTGGTCTGCGTTCCCTTGCTTGGCATCACCTGTTGTCATTGCTGCGCGTTGCTTGTCAGCAGCGCGTATGTTTTGCTCCTTGCATGCATGGTATCTAACTTGTACTGCACATTGTACCACAGCGCGTGCGCTACATGGCACCACGTAGATCGCACCACTGAGATTCCGCCAATTACCTCCCGCAAGAGATTACGCGCCACGTGCGACGGGGGGGCCACGCGGGACTCATTCCTTGGAGGGCTCCTCTTCCTGGAGCCGCACGCTGCCTAGGAGGAGGAGGAGGAGGAGGAGGAGGAGGAGGAGGAGGAGGAGGAGGAGGAGGAGGAGGAGGAGGCTCGGCCACGCCCCGCACGCTCTCCCAGACCACCTGGCCTTGCAGGTGTGAAGCTCCCGCTGCCTCCTGGCCGAGGCTCCATGGCCGCCGGACCCCCCCCCCCCGCCGCCCCCGCTCGGCGGCGCCCAAGAGCACAGCCGAGGGCATTTTGTTTCTGCACCTGCCGCCTCTCGCCTCCCGGGCAAAGACCGAGGCAGCCCGGGGCGCAGCCGCAGCAGCCGCCGCAGCAGCCCCAGCAGGGCATGATGGTGCCCGCTGGGATGGTCGGGGGGGCGGCGCGGCATCGGCTCGGCGGTCTGTGCGCAAGGAGGCGGATGTGTCCTCGGTGGGGTCCTGAGGGACGGGGAGGCCTGGGGAGGGGAAGGGATCCATGGGTGGATTCACATTGTCTGAGGCACCCTCGTCCGTGCGGTAGAGGGAAACAATTACCGATTACCCCCCCAAGCGAAGCTCACAGTTGGCACGCGTGGAGGAGACTGCGGTCGTTTGCGCCGACATTCGTGCGTAAGCTGCCCGCGTAAGGTCGCGCGTAAGCGCCCTCGCTTCCAGTGTAGCGTACCGCGTTGGCGGCCCGCGTAAGCCACCGTGTAAGGTCGCTGTGTCATATCGCGTAAGATCCGTTTTTGATCGCCGCCCAGATGAATGCGGCACGAGTGTTCGCTATTTTTCGTCCGAGGCCTGGAGGACCCCATGCCTCAGGACCCTATCTTTGAGCATAGGTGGTTCAAAGATGGGGTCCTGAGGGACGGGGGCCTGAGGATCGGAGGGATCCAAGGATGGATTTGCGCTGTTTGAGGCATCCTCGTCCTGAACGTTGTTTGAGGCACCTCGTCCTTAGGACCCCATGCCTCAGGATCCCATCTTTGAGCCACTGGTGTCCGGAGAGGGGCACCACTGCACGTAGCTCTATCCAGGGCGGCGCCGGCCGTCCGCGTCTGCCACACAGACGCGAAGAATCGACGCTTCCCGGGGAGATGTGGGGGCGATCTGGTACCATCTTGGGGCCATCTGGGGCCGTCCTGGGCACTGCAGCCGCTCGCGCCCCGCCTCCAGACCCGTGGAGACCGAGCCGGGGGAGAGGTGAACCCTCCCCTCAAGGGGCAGACAGGGCTCTGGAAGAGCTCATCCGCTAAGCCCCTCGCGAACGGCCAGCGGGGGTTCCGTGGGGACATACCACGCGCACGGGGGCAGACCTAGGCAGGCCCAGGCGGAGCATGTACCGATGCAGTCAAATCTGCGCACACGCGTATACATGTGGCGCTTCCTCTCCCCTCCACCCCACCTTGCTCCCTCTCGGACCCACCCCCTCTCCTACACTCCTCCCTCCTCCCACCGCGTACCCTGTTGCCTACCCTTCTCCGCTCCACCTTTTTTTCTCCCTCCCCTTCCGTCATCCTGCCTCTTCTTTCCTCGTTCTTCCATGTTCCCCCTTCCCCCGCCTTCCCTCGTTCACCCTCTGTTCCTGCCTCCGTCCCTCCTTGCTCCTTCCTCCCCGGAGGCAAGGGGGGCGAGGGGCCCCTCGCCCCCCTTGCCTCCCTTATCATTCACCTCCTCCCTTGCCTCCTTCCTCCATCCTTTTCCATCCGGTTCCCCCCCCCCTCCCTGGCCCAGGGCTGGGTGGGAGGGGGACCGGCCGCGCACTGCGGAGGTTGGCGCAGCAAAAACACGCATCTCAAACACGAACGCTTCGAACACCAGTAAACGAGCAGTGTTCGGGCGATGGGCCGCGCGGCCTTCCAGATTTCAAAGGCTAGCCGCATGCTAGCGTTCGCTGGCGTGTTTTGTCGCCGCCCGCCTTGCGGATCGCGCCTAAGGCAATCACCGACGAAGGTCCGACAAGGTGGCGCAGTAACTCGCCCATTTCAAACAGTAGTCGAATAATTGCTTTCGGGCGCGGATGGTTTTATCCAGTTTTGGTGCAAGAGTGACGACGCGCGCGAGGGCACACGGCCGCCGCGCGCGAGTCGGCCCTGGCCCAATCCGATTCGAAAACGCAACGCCCGAGGGGCACCCGGGCATATTCTGCGCGGACACATACTATGCGCAACGACCTGGGGCCGCCGCGCGCGTGGCGACCCTGGCCCGCTCTGTGTGGAAATCCCCACGCGCGAGGGAGCAAGGCCGCCACGCGCGCGGCGGCCCTCGCACATTCTACGTTGAAAGCGCCATGCGTGAGGCTCCAGGGCCGCCGCGCAGACGGCGGCCCTTGCCTACTCACTGGCTGGGAAAAACACGCGGCGCGAGGGGGCAGGGACGCTGCGCGAGCGGCGGCCCTGGCCCTATGTCGACGAGCGCCATGCGCAACGGGGCAAGGCCGCCGCGCGCGGGGCGAACGTGGCCAAGTCTGCGTGGGAAAAGTTACGCCCAAGGGCCAGGGCCGCCGCGTGTGCGGCGTTCCTGGCCCACTATGTCTGGAAAACCTCAGGCGCGAGCGGGTAGGGTGTGGGGCCGCTGCGCTCGCGGCGGCCCATGCTATTTGGAAGAACGCAGCGCGCCGTGGCAGGGCCGCCGCGCGCGCGGCGGCCCTGGCCATTTCACGGTTGGAAAAATCACCACGCACGGAGGGGCAACGCCGCTCTGGCCAACCCTCACCGCGCGCGCGCGACGACCCTGGCCAATTCTGCACGGGGAAGCACAACGTGCCCAGGGCGCATTGTGGGCGAGTGGGCAGGGCCGCTTGAAGGTTTGTTGGGCCACGTTGGGTAGTCGTGCTGGAGGCTTGCCGGGCCACGTTGGATAATCGTGCGCCTGATCGGACGCAATATTGGGGGCCATCGCCATCTGGGCCCGGTCAAGAGCCACCCGAGACCTTTGTGATCGGCCCTGCCGCCCGCGGCCCCCGCCCAACCATTCTTGCGAGGAAGCGGGGGAGGGTCCTCCCCCGCGGCGGGGCTAGGGCTGTTCAGGCACGCGTGCTTTGAACCGCTTCCGCCGATTTGGGGCTGGCGGGGCTCAACCAAAGCCCGCCCACCATGCTCCTCCTGCCATTCCTCCTGCTTCTCCGTTTGTTGGTGTTCCTCCTCCCTCCTCTTCTCTCCCCGCCTTCCTGCTGCTCCTGATTATCCTCTCCTCCTCGCCTCGCCCCGTTTTCCATCCACCACCCACCGTCGCCATCGTCACCGTCCTGTTTGTTACGCCCTTTTTGGCAGCGCGGGCCTTGCGTGCCTGAACACGCCGTGTCGGACCGAAAACAACCTCAGTCAGCGATATCTGTGTGCAGCATGCACCGCGGCAGTTGCGCGCGAGTATCACCGGGCACCAGCGTGCGTTGGATTCTCGGACACGCATGGATGGACAGCCAGGGCCGCGGCGCACAGGATTGCGTCAAACTGGTGTTGCCGCAATCAGTTTACTAGTATCTCGCAGCGTTGGTTTACCGAACGTTGTAATGACCTTCGCGTTGCGCGCCGCGTCGCGCTTGTATCGCGCGCGGCGCGCTTCGCTCGAACTAACGCAGCCAATGACTCACATTGCAGTTGCACCCCGGGCAGAGTTTACCATCTAGTAGTACGGCCCCAGCCCGATTGCCAAACATTAGCGCATCACCGCCAGAACATTTGGATTTGATGTGGTTCGCCCCGAACGCTAGCACCCTTAGTGGTTTGTGGGGCGTTCGCTTCTGCACGCAAGAACACAACTGGGACCCGCTTACACCACACATACTGCTCCGCGCAAGCTGCACCCCATAGCTTGCGCAGGATATCGTACACATGACAAAGCTTTTACCGCATAGCTTAGATATAGCTTACGTCGCATGGTTTAATTCCACCACCTATTTCGCACCGCATAATTAGTTTACGCCACGTAGCTTGCACCTCAGACCTTGCATGTCAACAGTGCGACAACTTGCTGTTTGGGGTCCACGGTGGCAAAGATAGTCAAACACATCCTTTTTGAGGTCCGCGCGGATTTCTTTGGAACTGCGGTGGACTCCGCTTACGGCGCCTCCGGCACCTCGAGACGGGTCCAGCGTCGATCCAAAGAAATCCGCGCGGACCTCCGAAAGTTTGCGTTTTTAGCTAATTAATCGGTCCTGATTAAAAGGGCCGTGGATGTTTCTCGCCGTTTTCGCCTTTGGGAGCCTTCCACGGTTCAGGGACCAAAAGCGGCTCAGGATGAAAAGCTGGCTGGCTTCGGGGAAGGAGCCCCAGTGTCCAAGACCCGCGTCCGGATCGCACCGCATCGCCGATGTATCGGCGATGCGGCTTGATGTGCAGCCCGATTTTTTCCACGTCGACGGCGCCGATGCGTAGTCGATGTGTCGGCGATACGGCGCGATCCCCCAGAGCCCGTTTGGCAGACCTCCGCTCCTGCGGGAAAGCAGGATGGGTCTTCTCAGGGCGCCCCGGTCCACCCTGCGGAGAGCTGCCTCGGGGTCAGCCGACGGCTCGTCGGGTGCCGGAGGTCCCTGTCAATAGCGCGATGGGGGCTTCCCCGAAGTTCGGGACGCAGGCCCCGCTGGCCGCATACCCCGCCGGGGGGATGTTGGTGGGGGGCAGGGGGGATCACGGAAGGGCGAGTTGAGGCAACGGCGGTTTGCATTCGGGGGGAGGGGGCCCTCGTCGCCACGGATGTTTGCAGCGTAGAACATTCATCGGTGCGTGCAGATCCCAGGAAGGGTCCGGAAACCGAGTTTGAGACCGAGTTTGAGTTGCCGTTGTCCCATGTCGCCTTGCTCCGAGTGGAGGAAGAGGACGGAGGAGGATATCAAGGGCAACGCGGAAAGATAGGCTCAGGGGGGGACGTTCGGGATGTGATTGGACAGTCCACCGTTGGATTGCAGGGTTTCGCAAGTTTTCGGAAGCTTTCGAGGCTGGGATGGTTTCCTTCAGCTGCGCCTCGTCGAAAGCGTTCTGGGGCTGTGGAGAAAATGAGCTATGACCTGAAAACCAGCAGGCCCGAGGCAACGTTGGAGGGGATGGGTTCAGGGGGAGACGCATCCACGCCCAATCGCCCATTCATCGCCGATCAAGGGGCCGGGTAGCACGCCCCGCCAAGGAACGTTCGATTCGCTATCGAGGGTCTATCGTCGATCTATCGGCGTTCTATCGCCGATTCTAGCTCGATGCCGCTCTCCCTAAGCCAGTACCCCCCCTTACGCTTTCCCTTGGGAGAACGGAGAGGAGGGAAGGTGTCCTTCCTTTCCCCTCGTGTGTTTCTCTTTTTTGGTCCTCCCTCGTCCCATCCCCGTTGTTCCAGCTGGACGTGCACAGTTGGCGCATCTGCTTCGCCACCGTCGCGATCCTCTGCAGGCACCGTGCGTGTCTTAAGCGGTGCTAGGGAGAGGCTTTGCCGGGTTGGCAGGGCGCGCCGTGGTTCTCACCGGCTGACGCTGGTCGGGCGTGGCATGGGCGCAGAGAGCAGGGCATGACCTCCATGCTGAGGGAGATTCTTGGCGAAGAGTGGTAGAGTCTGCAAGTTTTTCAGCAGGTACGCAAAAATATATAATACGCGAGTGGGTCAGTACGGCTCGTTGATATGGCGGTGGCACATGCCCCGCGGGGTAGAAGCATGAGCACCGATTTTCACATTTCAGACGGTGGTGCCCTCGACGGACGCCACACGCTCACAGGCATTTCTCTGAGCAGACTGCATTCTTTCCAGCTCAGCTCGTGCTCCGCAGTTCGGACCGCCGGCCGCCACGCCTGCCAAATCGGAGCCATGGCGCCGCTCTGACCTGGAGAGTGGCTAACAGAGTAAGGCGCTTGCGCGGGATGCGCTGAGGAGGGATGGAGTTCCCGCGTGTCCGCGCCATGGGCCCGTGGCCGTTTTGGCTCAAGGTGCGCTTGAAATGGTTGCGCTCGAGGCCGTATGCGCTTCAAATCAGAGCGGTACCAAGAGAAAGGCAAGATTGTCGTGGTTGTTTCCTGTACTTAGCGCGGCTACCCGCGAGCCCGCGTGGTTCTTGGAGAAGCTCGGGAACGCTGATCTCTCCGACACGTACGATCATTGCACTTCGATTATGTGTGAAGTTCCGCCCCAGAAATTCGCAAACATCCTACCCCTTCAGCCTGGAATCCAGTTCTTGCAGCCAGGGGGCTATTGTGGAGCCTGTTCAGTGCAGAGGGCAGCAATGGCCAAGGGTGCCTAGGTATCAAAACAACAGGTCCGCGACCACGCACGGTATGGTGGCGGTCACGATGAGGAATTTCTCAACACACATATTGATGGTGCGTTTGAGCGGCTGAAGCTCAAAGGCGATGGTTTCCAGTACAACGTGTTGCCAACGCCACACTCGGATGATAACCTCAAGTTCATGAACAACCAGTTGGCCGCAAGCAATCCAGTTATCTGGATGGTAATCAGTGGCGAGTCGTATCCCGATCCAGGATGCGACTATGACAACACATCGAACGGTAAGTACGGGCATATTGAACCTGTAGTGGAAATTCTGTCGAATCATCCCCTCTCCGACGAACAGGTGCACGAGGATGATACGTTTGCTTACTTCGACGATGCCAGCAACATCACGCACTATGTATCGCCCAAGAAGGCCCCGAGCGAATGCTTGTTTGGTTAATCGGCCCGTTGCCGAGCCCACTGCACATCTGGATTGTTCGGGCAGTGTGTGTGTGTATGTGTGTGTGTGTGGAAGCAGCGCGGCTATGGGCAATCCAAGGTCTCCTGGACGAGCATCATGCAGCCCTCTATCTCTGTCCATCAGCCCGTGGGCATCCGAACCCTACACCAGGGGAGGAGAACCACCACTCGAAACCATTGGTACACTTACAGTTTCGGGCTTGACGGCTGGACGAGTTATGATATATATATATATATATATATACATACATATATTCATTAAGATATATATATATATATATATATATATATATATATATCTCATTGACATAGCGCCGAAGAGGTTTTCACCTACAGCGACGCTCACAAAATCACGACGTTCACGGCTTCGAGCGAAACTCATGTGTTCGAGGATCCAAACAAGTTCTTAAGCAGCAGTGCGACAGATTACCGTTGTGTGGCCAGCGGCAGCGCTTGGGTAGTAGGGCTTGTTTGTGGGCGCAGTGTATGTGCAACAAAGATGGATCAGTCGAATGTTCAAGATCGTAACATGGTTGAACGTCGTTCTACCAACTGTGGGCCCAATTGTGGGTCCGGCGTCTTTCCGTCAATGGTCACCTCAACAATTTTAGTCCCGCACGGTGTGCATCTCACGGTCACCACCGCAGAGCGCAGTGGTTGCTAGCCGATTCGAGGAAGCATACCCAAAACAAGTTCTCGTGTGGGGGTGCCGGACGCCAGGATCGAGGTGAAGGACGATGCTTGAGGTTTGTGGTAGTTTTCGTGCCTTTTACGCAGTGTCGACCACGCGCAGAGGGGGGTAGGGGGAGGAGGGAAGGCTTCCTAGAAGCAGGCTTCTTCTCAGAAGGTGGGCCTTGTCTACGGATGTAAGGCCGGCGCCTTCTAAGAAGCAGCCTCCTTCTGAGAAGACTTCCCCCCTCCCCCTAACCCCTTTTCGCGCCGCCAAACGCTGCCGGATGGAAGATGGAGGACTTCCTTGCCCCAGCTGGGAGGGGCAGGGAGGTCGGGCGCGGAGTGGGTCTCGCGGCGGTCAGGCGGGCCAGCAGGTGGCGTCGGGGGGAGTATGGTCGGGCCAGACGAAAAGGGGGGAGTTGTGAAGGCGGGGGTTTGCGAAATCTGTCTCATGACGCCGCCTTCGGTCCCACCGCCAGGCGTTTCGCTCGATACGGCGGCGCCTCTTGTGCTGGGAGGCTGCGGGAAAACAAGTCGCGTGGGCTGGTTGGCTGACTCCCCCTTTGCGAATCCCCCCTTTCGTCCGACCCGGGTCTGGGTGAGACGGGCGAGAGTCGGGCGTAGAGTCGAGACGGCTGGAAGCTGCTCTGGATGTAAGCCAGGCCGGGGCAGCTTGACCTTGGTGCCTGGCTCGTCGGCCCGCGCCGCCCGTTTTTTCTCGCCACGAACGGAACGGCTCCAATCCTGAGGTCTTTTCGCCGTCTTCGGGCTCCCGGGCCCTACACGGGCCCCTGGGATTGTCGGAGGATGCCTCAGGACCAGTTTGCGCCGTTCGGATCGGACGAAAGGGGAGGATGGGGCAAGGGGGGGTACGGCATTTTCTCCGCGCAGCTGATTTCGGCCCCGCCGCGGGGCGCATTCCTCGATACGTTGGCGCCTCCGGTATTTGCAGGGGCCCGGGAAATCGGCTGCGTGAGCTGATTCGCCAAGCCACCCCTCGCCGTCCTGCGCCCCTGGTTCCCGCCGCGAGAGGGAGAGAGCCCCGCAGGCGGCGGGGGGGGCTCTGCCGCGCGCTCCCTTTCGCGCCACCCTCCGCCCGAGATGGGACCCGTCATGGTGCAGGCGGGGGGGGCGCCGCGCGCGTGGGGGGCACTTTCTTGGAGGAGGAGTCGACACGATCGGAATGGGGACGGACAGAAGAGGCACGAAGACCAACCAACATCAGCCAACCAACATCAGCTCTTGCCCACTTTGAGCAGGACTCGCTGTCGGTGCCGCCGCGGACGCTGTCAGTCTGAACCGAGATCCGCACGCCCAACAGCGCCCGCTGTCGATTTGGGACAACCCATGCTGTTGGGCATCGCACGTCGTACATATCCGTTTGAGCGACGTGCGAAAGCCGCGTCGTCTTCACCGCCGTCAGCGCGTAAGTTGCCCGCGTAAGCTCGCGCGTGAGCGTTCTCGTCTCCACTGTGACGTGCCGCGCTGGCGGCCCGCGTAAGCCGCCGTGTAAGGTCGCCGTGCCATCTCGCGTAAGACCCGCTTTTGATCGTCACCAATTGGTTCACCACCCACTTCGGGAATGGCAAGTGGAGGGCTTGTTTTCCACCACCACTACCAGAGGTAGGAGAGGGAGGAGGAGGAGGAGGAGGAGGAGGAGGAGGAGGAGGAGGAGGAGGAGGAGGAGCTCCTCATCCTCCTTTCTCCCCCGTCCGCAAGGGAGAGAGTCAGCAAGGGAGAGAGTCAGAAAGGGACGAGGAGGGGCCCTGGGGCGGAGCAGCGCCAGCGTGTTAACGGCAGCGGCGGCCCTCCCCCCCGCCGTTTGCGCGCCCTTGTCCCGGGGCGCTATGGAGAGGCTTGCCTCCGTCGCCTCGGCCGGGCCCGCCTTGGAAAGCGGGTCAGCGAGACGCGATCGATTGGGCGGGGGTGGGGGGCCAGGGCTCGTCTCGATTCCTCCGATTCGATTCGATGCAATGTCGTTGGTTTCCGATTCCGATTCGATTCGTCTTGGGATTCCGATTCGGGCTTCGATATCTGATTGGAGGCCTCCTAGCGTGCCGATGTCCGCCGATTCGACTTTTCCCGACTCGGCTGCCGTTTTCCGCGGGTCCGATCCATGTCGATCGCCGATCCGACTTGTCGATTCGATTCTGGGCTCTCCTGGGGTGAAGTGGGGGGGGGGCGAGACGCTGTCGGGGGGTGAAGCGTGGTCGGGGGGGGCGAGGCGTGGTCGGGGGGCGAGGCGGGGTCGGTTTGGGGGGCGAGGCGCGGTCGGGGAGGACCTTGGGAGGGGGACCCGGGCACCGATCTTGCAGGGATTCGGCTGGGCTGGGAGCCCTGAGGCGAGTGTGGGGCGGGTGTCCATGCAGACGGGGGTCAGCCGCTGAGCGCCTGATCTTGCAGGATCCTCCAGAGCCAGGGGTGCATTGACCCAGGCTTGCGTGCAGGGTCTTGCAGCATCCGTCAGGTGCAACCATAGGGGGGGATAGGCATAGGGGGGATGCATCGTCCGCCAATCGTCCATTCATCGCGATAGCCCAAGCTTGCCCAGGAACGTGGGGCTTCGCCATCGGGAACCTGTCGCCGATCTATCGGCGATGCATCGCCGATTCCAGGTTGATGGTTCCCCCCCCATTCCAGTCCCCCTCCTCCTGCTCCTCCTCCTCCTCCTCCTCCTCCTCCTCCATTCCAGGTCGTTGCCCATCATTCCTGCAGGATCTTGCAGGATCCTGTAAGGCCCGACCGACCCGGGTTCGCGCTGGCCCGGGTCAGCAGATCCCCGAGGTGAGCCAGGCGGGAGGACCGCCCCCTCAGTCGGAGCTCCCCCGACAGGGTGGCCCTGGAGGGACGCGCGCTTGCGAGCCTGTTGCGGCTCTCGGGCCCCTCCCATGGGACGCACAGAGACCCACTGGTGACTACATGTCCTCCTTGGAGGCGCGCGTCCGACCCGAACGTTTTGGCGTCGGCGGCTGGGCAGAGTAGCTTTGGCTGGCGGAAGCGCTAGAAACGGGGACACCGTTCAGCGGACTGTGCCACAATGCAGGACAAGAGGAGAAGACAGGGAGGGCGGCCGCAGGAGGGGGGGGAGGGGCGAGGGGCCGCTCAGGGTGACGGGTCACGCGTCCGACCCGAACATGTAGTATACCCGTCTTGTAGTTATGCCGTTTCCCGAGCGTCCCGAGCGGTGTGGCCAGGAAGCGCCAGCCATTCCGCACATATTGTGAGGGTGCTCGGTGCGCGCGTCGCCACATGGGGGAGCGGGCGACGCACACGTAGTATTGGTATGCTGGAGTGGTGCCCGTCCCAGGGCCTACGGGGGGCGTCAGTCAGGCGATCGCAAACATGGATCCGGGGGGCGTTGATTAGCGACGGGTCCCGTTTCCATGGGAAATCGCGGATTTCCGCCGCCCCATCCATTTTTGCACGCCCCCGACAGGATGGGGTGCTCCTCCCAGGGAAGACGCCCCAGGTAGCACGCGTTTCGTCAGGGCCCGTGCCCATCATCACATAAGGAGGGGTGTGGAGGAGAACGAGGACCAGTGCAATCCAAGCCCCTGCTTCAAGTCCCTATCATAATTCATGATCATTGGGGGAGGAGCCCCATTTCAAGCCCACCCGCTGGGAATCTCCAACCCTGCTGCCAAAACACAGTTCCTGGGACTTCAACGCCGCGGGTCAACGTGACTGTCTCGCTCTGACAACATTGCGTCGTGCCAGATTACCGTTCCTGGGACTTCAAAACAGTGAATCAACGTGACTTTTGCGTCTTGACAATCCTAAAGTATGTCAGAACACCATTCCTGGGATCTTTACCTTACGAAAACGGTTGCAAACGTGTCAGACCAATGTGCGCTGCGCTAAAGCGAGGACGTCTAGGACATCTAAAGAAAAGCCCAGCTTGGCCTACCAACACGTCTGAGGGTGCGGCGCGGAGTACTTGTTATAGAGAACAGCGGATGGAGGAGGACACGACGATGAGGGCGAAGGAGGCGGGAGGTGGAACAAGGGAGGCGGCAGTGGGAGAAGAAACGAGTTACTTGTCTGATGACATCGGTTGACGTTCGGCAAGCCAGCAAGCGGAGATCATCCAGGTGGCGGGCCAGATGCGTACCATTTGAATTCGCCAGCTGGTCAGCCATACCCGATCCTAGATCACACCCGAAATATTCACGGTCGATATGCAGTTCCGCTAACAGTGCAGGAAGCATTTTCTTGTTTTGTTTCGTTCGTGTCCAATTCGTATATCTCACAATTAACCGTATTCACGCCCTGGCTCGGATGTTGGTCATGACGAGTGCTTGAGGGGGAGGGGAAGAGGGGCCTTGTAGCTTCTGGAGTCTTACGTTGTCATCTTCCGCTGCCTCCTGCTTGGTTGCACTCGGGCTCTTGGGTCCGCCCATATCCTGGTACATGGCATGTTGTTAGACCAGATTTGGGGGTGCAGACCAAGTCATTGGTGGCACTCAAGCTTCGGATGGAGCATGGGTTGACAATCGTGGAGGCCATCACGTGCGCGACGCCCTATCGAAATTACACGTGGGCAATGCTTTCATGTGTCAGCGCAGCACTGCCGACTCGGTCAAGTCGGAGTGAGGGGCTTCTGGTCACGCAAGCCCACGCCACATCGAACAAGTCTGATGCTTGAGTCGGAGCGCATAGTTCCGTTGCGTTATTGTTATTGTCCTTCCTCTTATCTCAGGGTTGGGGCCAAGCGAGTGTGGGGGGGTCCCATCAGTGTGTGGGGGCGGCGATAAGCTCAGGAGGGACGCATCGACCCCTAATCGCCCATTGATCGCTGACAGGAGTCCAGTAGGCCACCCCGCCTGGGAATTCAGGCCAGAGCAGCCCTCACTTCTATCCGTCCCTGGTGGAGGTCATGGGCAATTCTGTATTTATGTATCCAATTCCGAGGCGGGGATTTGTCCATAACCACCGCCTGGGGGATCAATCTTCGGGGGTTTCGGCATGTGGTGGATGTGAATATATTCGGGCCATGGGGGGGTCGAAAATGTTAAACCCCTCCCGCCCGCCGAGGTCCCCAACGGTCGATATCCCAGGCGGTTGCCATGGACAAATCCCCGCCTCGAAGCAGCTGTTCGGCTCTGCAGTGGCCTGCTGCACCCTGATCCCCCTCCGTGATCTCTATATCCCCTGCTGTTTTTGCTTGTTTCCCGAGTTTCCAGGGCCCTCCGTGCACCCTTCCAGTGAGGACCTGCTGGAGTTGGGCGGGGCCAGGACGATGGTAAATCCCTTCCAAGGCGTTCCGGAACACTCTCAGAGCGCTCCGGAACGCTCTGAGAAGGCCGCGGCGCCCAAGACATCCTCCAGAGCCGCCGCATCTCAGAGAGTCCCGATTTATGCTCGCCCGATTTTGTCCTCGTCTTGGTTTGTTTTCAAGGCGGGGCCCAGAGGAGGGGTAGGGGGTGAGGAAGGGGGGGGGGAATGGGTTGGCGCAGGGAAGGCCTGAGGGGGGGGGGAGTGACGGGGCGGGAAGAAGGGGGATGCAAGACGGGGTGAGACAGAGAGGATGGGGAGGGGGGGGGAAGATCGGGGGACGAGGCAGGGAGGGGGGGGAGATCGTGCAGGGCTGGAGGCGACGAGCGCGCAGAGCGCGTCCACCTCGGCGCACCGCCGTGCCCACACGGGCTCCGGGCCCCCTCGCCGCTGCGGCCCGCCCTCCCCCCTCGGGCGCCAGGGCCCGCAGGGCCAGATGATGATGATGGTGCAGCCAGGCCTGCTGCGGGCGCTGCGCGCGCGGGCCGGGCTCGGGCCCCCCAGGGCCCCCTCCTGGGCCCTGCAGGGCCCCTGGAGGGGCCCTGCAGGGCCACGTTCCTGGAGCCTGTCTTTGTGAGGTCTGGGCGATGGTGGCCTCGGATCGGCCCTCTCCTTCCCGCCCCCCCCCTCGGATCACGTCACGCTCTGTTGCCCACATGTGCAGGAAGATTTCCGACGGATTCCAAAAGAGTTTTTTGTTGCGTCGAAGCTACGAAGAATGCGTGGAAAGTTTGAGCTATTCGTCGAGAAGAATCAGGTTTGGGGTACGTCGATTCTCTAGCCGACCCCCTACTAGATCAAGGGCCACTTTCCTTCAGCCCTCGCAGCACCCCCCATTCATCGCCCCCCCATTCAGCGACGCCCAGGCTCGGCGCGCGACGCGGGCCAGTGCAAACGGGGGCCAGCCAGCGCCAGTCCAAGAAGCCCGCGCGGACCCCCGAGAGCTCCTGCCTGAGCCGACCGCCTCCCTCCCCGCCGCCACAGGGCGCTCCGAGCTCGCCGCTCCCAGCCTGGCAAGCGCCGCCTCCATGGCCTCTCGTCAGGGCTCAAGGGACGAGGGTCGATGCAAACGGGGGTTCAGCCACGGCGCCAGATCTTGCAGGCTCCTGCGGGGCCACGGGCGCACCGACCCCGGGCTGGCGCGAAGGATCCTGCACTGACCCGGGTTGGCGCGGAGGATCTTGCGGAGCCATGGTTGCCCTGTCCCTGGCCAGCGTGCAGGACCTTGCAGGATCTTGCAGGATCTTGCAAAGCCTGACTGGCCCAGGTTTGCGTTGACCCGGCCCAACAGGTCCCCGAGCTCGGCCAGGAGGGCGCCCGTGTCTCGGCGGAGGGATATACGAAACATTCTAAGATGTTTTGTAGATTTGACGAAAAGTTATTTCGGGGTAAGCCAACTCTATAGTCGATCCCCTTCATGCGGCGTTGGCGCGCCAGCGACGCCAGCGAAGGCGTTCAAGGTTGAATTCTGTGATGCGGAAGCACCGATGGACACAGTAACTCCGCTGGGCCCGACCGAATTCAACCTCGAACGATCGGGGCCGCGATCGATTCAAGGTTGAACGAGCGACGCGGTGTCAAAGGTATTTGCGCGTGCAGACGCCGCACAGAACTTGCCGCAGGGGTCGGAATGCGTCGAGCACGTTGCGAAGTCCGAGCCCTGCCCCCGCCTCCCATCGGTTTGAGAGAATCGACAATTGGCGCTGTTTGTTTGTTCTGCTTCCCAGTCGGGCGCTCGGTGTGCTTCAGCGCTGCTTCGCAGTCGGGCGTTCTGCTGTTGCCTCCTGCCCGGTTCAGTGACGGCAGTGGTGCCCAAGCGGCCATGCCCAGGGCTGGCGCATGGCCTATGTACAGGGCTCAAATGTCGCCACGTGATCCTCCTGCTCTCGGGGGTTCGAGGATCGAGGGCGGGAGGACGGGGGTTCCAGGATCGGGGCAGGCCCCAGGGCTTATGGCGCCAACATCGCAGCGCGGATTTCGCTCGGAAAACACTGGGATGGACCCAGACTGTCCTGGAGAGTCTCGTTTCCGATTTCGAAGTGGGTTTCGTGCGGACTGTTTGGCCAGGAGTGGAGTCTACAACAACCTCACGTGAAGTTCACTTCGTTTCTCGCTCGCCGCTTCAGGGTTTTGCACAGACAGAAATCCACGCAAAAACCCGCTGCAGCACGTCTGCAAGGACGGTGCAGTGACAGGATCCCCAGGTCCGAGGCTGGAACTCATCCAGGCTCCAGGGCCGAGGCTCCGGGGTCGAGGATCGAGCTTTCCAGGGCCGGGGATCGAGGCTTCCAGGCTCGAGGGCAGAGGCTGCAAGATCGAGGTTCCAGGGTCGACGCTGGAGGTTCCAGGCCCGAGGGTCGACTGGGGGCCCCCGAGCGGTGCGGTGACAGCACCGTGTGGTTAGTCCGTTGGGGTTCGGGGTGGCCGCACGTGTGTTGGGTGGGGCCGGGGCCCCTCTCCGAGGACGTCTCGAGGCCGTGCGGTGGCGGGCCGTGCGGCGGGGTCTCTCAGTCGGGGATCCCGAGGTCACCGCACGGTCTGGCCCTGCACCGCCTTGGGACTGGAAGCGAAAGGGCCCGAGGGGTCCCCTCCCGCTCTCCTCGCTCGCGCTTCTGCCTCTCTTGGAGCATTTTTTTGAAGGCATGGGCGATAGCGGCCGTGCGGTTGGACACGGCCAGCCTGGCCAGCCACTGCCGCTCATATTGGGGATATTTTCATCGGTGTTCCTGTCAAAACCCAGGTTTGGTCTGCGTTTGCATGAGGCTTCGTTGCAGACGTCTGTCGTGTATGTCGTATGTCGGTGCCACCGTTGGTCCTCATTCAATGGCCCTTTTGGCTGACGCACTGTTCTATAACTTATTGTGCGTATTGCTTCACGGCTGATCGCCTGGGATGTTCCATATCTTGTTATCATCCGTATGCACAGCTGCGACCGCTTTGTGACACATGTATTTGGAAGCACTGTCCAGTGCTTCCCCTCATTGTTTCGTATAGTATTTCGCGAATTGTATCCTCGTTCACGTCATTGGTGGCTCCGCTCGTTGCCTCGATGTGTTGCATCTTTTTTGCGCGCCACTTCGCATTCGGCTTCGCATTGGAGGCTCGTGGTTTTGAACGCGTGTTTGGAGACCCCCTGCTTGGAGACCCCACGGAAATCGTAGTTCTCGTATTTCGTGTTCGTAAGTGGCTTGCGCGTGAAGCTCTGCGCCGCATCCTTTTTGGTTCTTGGCGCAGATGGCGCGAACAAGCTTTCCTGTAACTCGCCCATCTGCTGGCGGGCGCCTGGCGTCGGGTTTGCCCGTATCGTCCCGATATTGTTCTATGTAGCCCCGACGGTGGCCAGGACAACGAAACAGCAATTCGGTCATGAATGTTGATAGCGATGATGCGGCGCGTCTGAGCCTGGACGGCCACCATTATCCAAAGTGGCGGCGCGAGGGCGCGAAGATAACTGCACATCGCGGGGCGCGATCTGCAAGGTAGTTTACCTAGAACTAACTGTGCAAGGATTTGGCCACTGCTTCGATGGGAGAGTATGCTGAACCCTTGTGTGCGCGTGTGCGCGCACGTGTGTGGGTGGAGGGCGCGTGTGCGCATGCTTATGCTTGTACACAGTTCGTGTGCCTGGATGCGTTTGTTTTCCACTATAGATTGAAGCACTTTTCAGCGGGCCTAGTCGAGCCCTGGGTCGGCAACCGACCCCCGCCAGGCCAGATGATGATGCAGCAGGGTTTCCAAGCTCCACGGCCGATGGGAGGCGGAAGTGGCGGTCCACCCAACCAGATGCAGGAACGCCCGCGGTTGTTTGTTGATTGAGGTGATCAGATCGCGACGCCATGGGGTTGCGTTGTTTCATCGGGGGATTTTGCATGTCTTGCAACTGGCTGTGTTTGGGGTATCCGACGTGGAACGCAGGATCCGACGTTGAGTCGACGCCGACTTGACGTTTATTCGATGCGGATTCGGCATTCGACATGGATTCGACGCGGACTCGACGCGGGTATGTAGTTGCGCGATGGGACGACAAGGTCCCCCGAAGATGCAGCACATCAGGGGGCAGTGACGCAATGGGAGGTTGCAGAAGCGCCCTCCACACTGCCAGAGTTCTGTGGGGGCTTGGCGCGGGCCGCCCGAACTGACCCGCGACCTCGGCAGCAATGCAGGGGTCATGGGTACAGAGGTGGGCATTCCCATGGGAACGCTTACGCTTGGGTTCGAGGTGTCAGCTGCCCACAGAGCCTTGCAGGCCTCGGAGTCAGAAGCAGCCCCCGAATATTTCCTTGCGGGGGGTCCTCTAGCCGACTCGTTCTCACACCTGAGCATAGTGCCGTACCCTTCTCGTATCCCCACCATCCTATCCAGACACGATGCCCAGAGGAGTTGCCTTGAACGGGGGATCGTGACATCATCTGGAGACATCCTGGCTTGTGTTGGCCAGAGGCCCCTCTGATGGTTTCGTAGGTCTCTGACGGGTGCTTCTCGAGGGCTCGTCAGAGGCAGATTTGGGCTCATTGAGAGCATCTTGCCGCTTCTTGGGGGCATCTTGGAGCATCTTGAGTGCCTCTTGTGGCCTCCTCGGGGCCTCTTGGGGCTCTCTGGAGGGCTTTTGAGGCCTTCTTTGGGTCAATTGGGAGGCTATCGATCAAATAAGGGAGTCCCATTGGCAGCATCGCCCCAGAAGAAAGCCAACATTGGTCCACGACCTTTCTGGACCATTCATGATTTTTGCCTTCTCGTTGAAGCTTTCATGGACGCTCCAATGGGTTGCCGCCCCCCCGTCCCGACCCAGGGGGAAGGAGTAGGAGCAGGGGTCAAGTTACTTCAAGCCGCAAGACGGGTCGGTCACCCCCGCCCGCCCTCCCAACACATAGTCAGCATTCGAGCCTGTGGCCCCGATCCCACTGAGTTCATGAGTCCTGTCGGAAGTGCAGCGCCTTGCATCCATCGAGAAGGTTGGAGTCTGAAGCAACTCACAAATCGTTCTTCCATGAAGCCAGTCGCCCAGTCAATATGCGGGAGCAGTTTTGTTGTTCTTTGTATGTTCGAGCTTAGACGGGCGCGTGAGAAAAACCGTCCATCTACCTCAATCAGTCTCTGTCAGAATTCAAAGCAGACGGACAGGTGACAAAGAGAAACAGGTGGGGAAGGGGAAGCTCGAAAATCATTGCCCGGTGGGGAAAGCTTCGGACCTGGGCGCCCGCGCATGGTCCAGATTTTGCCGCAGAGTGTACTTTGGAGTATCTTCGTTGTCAGGGATGGTGGGCTTGCCAAGAGCAGACAAGATGAGGGCACCCCCGCCGTCCCTGTCGAATACCAATACAAATTGTTCGCGGGACGCCTGCGCATGATCCAGATTCTGCCGCAAAGTGGACTTTGTGTGATTTTTCGTCAGGGGTCGTGAGCCTGCAGAGAGCAATAAAGATAAGCCCCCCCCCGCCGCCATCTCCGTCCACACCACTGCAACATGGTCGCGGGGTGCCCGAGCACGAAGCAGCCTTTGCCGCGCATTGCACTTTGAATTCGTGTGCTGACAGGGCTGGAGGGTCTGCGCAGAGCGGACATCCTGCAGACACCCTCGCCGTCCTTCTTCAAAAACTAACGCAGTGCGATCACGTGGCGGCCGCGCGCCGGACTTCACCGCCGTGTGTATGCCGCATTGTTTTTGTTTGACAGGGGCGGCAGGCCTGCGCAGAGCAGCCAATACGGGGGCACCCCTGCCGTCCTGGTAAAAACACGCGTGCAGAGTGCTCGCGGGGCGCCCGCGCACGGGGGCAGTTTCTGGTTCTCCTGTGTTTGCGAGCTGCATCTTTTCATTTTCTGCTCCGGATTGTGCCGCAGGCTGCATGCTGCATTTCCTGGTTTTGCAGGGTTGGCGCGCGGGGGGGGCCTGCATGTTACCGGGCTGGTCGCCGGTCGGGTGGGGGAGGGGTTCTTGATGAAGAGAAGCAGTGACGAACCCACCCCGAAAGGGGAGAAGGGGGTTGGACGATGAAATGCTCTTATGTACCAACCTACGGTAGTTTCGTACGGTGTCGACTGGCGGCGACCCCGCCGCTGGCGTTCAACGTTGAACGCCGCTGGCGACAAAGAATGGGTCCCATGTTGATTCTGACGTTACGGAAACGGCCGATCGTTCAAGGTTGAACGATCCCCGCGGTGTCAGAAACCAACGCTGGGGTTAGCACGACGCGAACCCGCGTTACGCGTTCAAGGCCTGGTGGGATTCTCCAGGAAGTTTTCGCCGGAGGGTCCCTACATATTCTGCGATCTGCGATTCGATGTGTCGGCTGGGGCCGCGATTCCGATTCGGTTCGATTCGGTTCGATTCACGGGCATCGGCCAGGGCCAGCTGGAGCCGGGCGCAGCGAACAGATTTCGAGCGGGTTCGGGACGATTCGTTGGCGATCCGATCCGTTCTAGATATGACCCGATTGCGTGATTCGATTTGGCTCGCTCAGGCTCAGTCGCCTTGCGCTGCGTCACACCGCCGTTTGTGAAATATATGATCGCGGGCCCAGGGCCCACGGCCACCCCCCCGCCCCCCAGATGGGATGGGTCCCAGGGTCTTCGGGCCCCCCCCCAGATGGGATGGGGGGGGGAGGAGGAGGAGGAGGAGGAGGAGGAGGAGGAGGAGGAGGAGGAGGAGGGAGGAGGAGGAGGAGGAGGAAGAGGAGGAGGACGCGACGACGACGACGAGACGACGACGACGACGACGACGACGACGACGACGACGACGACGACGACGACGACGACGACGACGACGACGACGACGACGACGACGACACCGACACCGACACCGACGACGACGACGACGACGACGACGACGACGACGACGACGACGACGACGTCGACGGCACCACCAGCGGCGGCGGCGACGACGTCTAGCACCGGAGCTGTCAACATGACGCCAATCCCGGCCACACATCGCACCCACACCGCACCCACAGGGGGGGAGGGAGGGGGGGAGGAGGACCATGGCGTCACCCCGCACACCACACCCACAGCAACACACCACACCCACACCACATCCACGGGGGGGGGGGGCACCACGCCACGCCCACGCACACAGGGGGGGGGGGGGCATCGCGCGGGGGGGGGGGGCGATGGCATTAGCATTGGGGTGGGGGCGGCCCAAACCCTCGACCATATATGCCCACCAGTAGAATTTTTGGAAGGGCCCTCTCCAACATTCCGTACCTCAAAGTTGGCGAACGACCACGCCAGAAGGGAGAGCGAAGTGTTGCACATTCTGACAGGATCCCATCGGCTCCCCATCCTTGTCACCTAATCCCGACATGGGCGTATGGGGTTGAATCCCCAGGTCCATCGTCTTGCAATATGTCGTTTGGATATATGAGGTCTCAGATTTGTGAGGTGCTTCACTAGCTGGTCGTGAGCAGGATGAGGAGGAGGAGGAGGAGAACCGCCCATATTTGACGTTGATTCACACGCTCTGCTGTCTCGACCTGGTGACAGTATCGCCATTCTGCTTGCTTCGATTCGTCATTGGCGGAGCCGAGACTGCACACGGTCTCATCTCCCCGCTCCTTCACGGCGTTGGCGTTTTTTCGACCTGAACCGCCCATGGCCTGTGGAGCTGAAGTCACAGAGCCAGAGCTGCTGCCCTCAACTGCCCCATCAATCAGCCACCTGCGCGGTTTCATCCCGACTTTACCTCTCCGTATGCAGGTTTGCAGCCCGATCGAGTGAATGTTCGCCCAGTATCGGGCGCGACTATCACTAGCGCACCTCAATTATCACTGTTGGAGCCCGAGTGAAACATGCATGAATTCTTGTTCGTGCTCGGGAAGATCATTGGTCAGACTCGCTTCATGCCAGTCGGTTTCAAAGAACGGGCATGCGACGAACTGCTTGCCTGCCTGCCTGCCCCTCCGCTAGAGGAAAGAGAACGATGCGCATGCACCAGTTTTCTGGCCAGGCCAATCCTGAGCCCACGATCGGTGCACACGCCTTCTGCCTTGGCCAGGAAGGTACATGCACCCATCCTGGGCCCAGGATGGGCCTGGCCGAGGTCGGTGCACGTGCACCGCTCTCTCTTCGCCCGATCCGCCTCTTGGATCGTCCACCCCGCAGGGCGAGCACAGCTGAGAGCTGGTCACAGCGCAGCCCGTGAGAGCGCGGCCCGTGAGAGCGCGGCGAGGGCCCGCCCAGTAGGCCGTGCCGCGGCGTGCCGCGGGCCGCACGGCGGCGGGGCTGAGGGATGGCGCTTTCGAGCGCGCACGAGGGGGTGGTCATCCGCTGCAGAGATATGCACGCCGGTCGTCAAAAGTATGTACTGTTTGATTCCCAGGTCCCAGTCTGCTTTAGCCGCTGGTCGTTGAAAGTATGTACTGCTTGATTCCCAGATCCCAAGATCTGCTTCAGCCGCCTTCTTACTTCAAGAGTCGAGTGGTGTTCCCTCTTCCCTCCTCTACAGGGGGCGGGCGGAGCCCTACTCTACTTCCAACGCCTTCCTACTTCATAGGCCTTCCGAGCCTTCAGAGAAGACCCGCCTCCTCTGACTCCCCCCTAGGCTCGCCGCCACCTAGGCTCAATCAGATGCTCCGTCTGGGCTATTCCGCCCCAATGTCCCTTCAGTACTGTTTAACCGACCCCTGTCCCCATCTCCATCCCCATCCAGACCCCCACCATCTCAGCACCCCGGTTGGGGATGTACCCCTCGAAATCCAAAGGAAGCAGCCCATATCCACATCTAGGGGGGTCAATCGGCCAGTAGGGCCGAGGCCACGCCCATGGGGATTTGGTGGCGGTTATAAGATGTGAATTTTTCCCGGCGGCGAGTGAGGGGGCGAAGTGAGAAGGAGAAGGTCTTCTCAGAAGGCATCGGGGCTTCTCAGAAGCCCCCCCGGCCTTCTGAGAAGCGCTCTGTGTCTTCTGGGAAGGCTCAGACGGATTCCCCGAGGGCCCAAAAACTTCCGAGCCTTCTGAGAAGACCCGGCCCTTCTCTTTACCCCCCGGGCTCGCCGCTGGTGAGCGGCTCAGCGGAGGGCGGTGTGCCTGGGCTGGGCTCGCGCGGCCCGTCGGTCGGTGCTTGTTCGGGGGCGGCAGAGGGGGGGTGATGACCAGAGGGGTCTGGACATCATGGCGGGGGCCATGATGTCTCCCCAGAGCTCATGGCGCCTCTTCTTATTTCAATACGCCCTGGGGCCCCCCCCCCCTGGGCCGCGCACGTGCGGCTGGCCATGGTTTGCGCCCCCTCTTGGACGCCCCCCCTCCTGGGCACGCCGCCGGCCATGACTTGCGCCCCCCTCTTGGACGCCCCCCCCCTGGGGCCGCGCACATGCCGCGGGCCGCGATTTGCGCCGCCCCCTCCTGGACGCCCCCCTTGGCCACTTCCGAGTTACAGCCGCCTCCCATCATTTGGTCGGAGAGTGCCAGGGGAAGTCCGAGAAGGGCCCCGAGCATGTACAGCGGATCTCGAAAGGCCTTCTTCCTTGACGCAGAGCCGTTGCATCCATCTTGGCGGCCGCTGACAGCACCGTCAGGCGAGCACGCTCGCTGCCCTCCTGGACGCCCCCCTCCATGGACGCCCCTGACCTGTCGCCGACGTGCCCCCCCCCCCCGCGGCCCTCGGCCGACACGAGGCCATGGGCGCGCCCTCCGCCGGCCCCGGTGCGTGCGAGCAGCTGTGCTCCCGGACGTGCAGCGCCCGGGAGCAGAGCAGGACGGGTCTCCGTTCGTCGCCTTCGGTCTCCGGGGCCCTGGAGACGGGCTTCTATAGGCCTCCCAGGTGGGGTCAGAGCAGGTGGGGTTGGAGGATCGCGCCGCATCGCCGATGCATCGGCCGTGCGGCTCGTTGCGGAGCCCAATTTTCTCCACACCGACGTCGCCGATGCGTCGCCGACGTCGCCTAATCATGCGTCAACGATGCTTCGTTTTCTGGTTTTCGTAATCATTCTTTTGCCGATCGGCGCGGGCCCTCGCACCCCCTCCCCCCCATCGAGTAGGTCTTGCCTGTTTTTGGCAGGTGGAGTCTCCCCCACAGGATGTACTGTTGCAAACAGTCGTATTAAGCAAAGGTCCGGAGCCAGACCCGCCCCTCTCACCCCCCCCTTCCGCCCAATGTCGAAGAGCCGAATAAGAAAACCTTCGCTTTTTGTTCGTCGTCTTCGGTCTCCGGGGGGCCTCTACGGGTTTCAGGGCCGTCATAGGACTATTCGGGGTGAGCAGCGGGACCTGGGAAAGGATCGGGACTTCAGGGCATTGCGTATTGAGAAAAATCCAGACATTGCATATCTCGATTGGCAGATTCCACCCACACGGAGGAGGAGGAACAGGAGGAGGAGGAGGAGGAGGAGGCGGTGGAACCGTCCTTCATCCTCATCCGCGCTCCCCCCCCCCCCGCCACGTCCCACTGGGGCCAGGGGCGGGAACGCGGATGAGGACGATGAGACGGGAGAAGGAAGGGGATGAGGAGCGATGGGGAAAGATACCAGAGCATACTGATACTCGGGGTGCACCGACATGTGACATGTTCACACCGAGCATACCGAACACAGCGGAAGACCGAGAGTACAGACGATGGCAAGGAACCTGTACCATACCGAAGACGAACATGGCACGAAACGAAGGACAAAGAAGACTAATGCGAAAAAGCAGGCGATCGATGGTTGCGCTCCCTCGCTCGCCGAGCGTCCTGGCAGCTGCGCCGACCCTCGAACGTGCCTCCTTCGCCACGGCTGCGTGCCAGAGGACGACTGAGTGGGGGCGTCACGAAATGGGGATGCTTTCTGGGCAGGGAGTGTGTGCATCTTCCCCTCCAGGCTGCAATGTCAAAGAAGTTGCCACAGTGGTGTACCTCGTTTGAGGCTGCAGCTGTCACGGCTTCTCAAATTTACGCGTTGTTGTTCACGCATTTGGATACTTCGACCTTCACCCCGATCCACACTCTTGCTGTGAGGACTCCAGTTGGCCTCGGTCAGGCTGCTTGATCACGGAATCCACTGCCGTTTTGCTACGGATGCGCCCTTACAGGTGCGACTGTCGCACTCTAGTCATTACAGGAAGCAAGCTGATACCACAACGTCTCGAGCATCTGCTGCCCTGCCCTGCAGTCTCTGGTGGCTCACGTCCTAATTGCCGCCACCTGTCGCCTTCGGCTGACAGCAGTGCTACCTCTTTGTGCTCCCGCCCGTAGAGTATGGAAGAGGCTGGCCGCTGTTCGCCGCCGCCCCCTCACCAATCCCCAGGCCACCGACCCTTCAGGCAGGCCGCGCGCCTCCCGGACTCGGCATCTCCGTGGAGATCCGCCTGGAGCTCCCCCAGGAGCGTGCGGGTGCGCTTCTGGCAGCAGCGCTCCGGGGCCGTCCGTTGCGCCCTGCCTTGGTGCCTTTTGGTGTTCGGCGCCCCGTTTGGTTTTCGGCGCCCGCGTGATTTTCGCCGCATCCTTGGTTCTCGGCCTCTTCTGGGTCTTCGGCGCCCCTCCTTGTTTTCGGCCTCCTGCTGGTTTTCGGCGTCAGTTGGGTCTTTCTGCACCCTTCTGGATTCCGGTGCCCCTTGATGAGCCGATCCCCTCCGGTTCCCGCCGCCCAGCCCGCACTGGGGAGCCGCGTGGGGCGGGCACCCCGCCCCCATCCCCTCCCTCCGCTGGTCCAGGTCTGGGAGCTGCTGTGCGGTCGGGTGGGGTGGAGCGCGTCGCCGAACGAGACGACGGTCAACGCGCCCAGAGAGGACGCGCGCCTTCCTCCAGGGTGTCCTCGTGTCCGCGCCTCTGCGGCCCGTCCTTTGTCGTCTCCACTGGTCGCCCGCCGCCCCAACGATCCGAACTTCGGCCTCTCGGGGTCTTGCGTCGTTACCACCCGTCCTTCATACACGAATCGACTGTATGGAGGAACAACAGCAGCCGCAGCGGGAGTTGGAACAGCAGGAGAAGCACGAGGATGAGCAGGAACATCATCAGCGACAGTTGCAGGAGGACGAAGGGTTGGGAATGTCTTCCTGGATTCACCTTCAGTCCTGAGCATGCTCAGCACCCACTCGATCATGTAATCGGATAGCGAGACTTGCGTTTGTCTGCGATGATCAGGAGGGAAAGGGGCCGTGGGAGCGGTAAACAGGCTCGTGAGAGTCGTCAGTCGCCGAGGTAGTGCAGGCTTAGAAACCGCTTGTTCCCTTCTGGAAGATTGCATAAGGGAGGCAGGAGAGAGCGAACGTGGGGCTACAAACACGTACGGAACATCAGTTGAAGGCAATACTACGTGTCGGCCCTGGTTTGATTGACTGCCTCGCAGGGTGCGGGCCGTCGGATTAGAGGCACCCAATGATGGTCGCGTCGGCCGCTCGGCTGATTAGAAGAGGTCGTGCGGCAATGTTGAGGCGCACATCTGCCCTACCTCAATTCATTCTGCCACTTTTATGTTGCTCTCCCCCGCTCTGCGAAGACTGCTGCCAGGGGGACGTACAGTCAAGAAGCTGCGGAATGCAACTTGGGGCTCAGGAGTGACAGGTTTTTGGGCCGTTCCTTAGATCTAGGTCGGGCAGCCGATTCGCAGCCTGAGCTCACCGTGGCCAGAAGTCCCGTTGTTCTTTGTTCAGCACGATGGCTGTATCCAAACCTACTTTCTGTCAGTTCTCGATCACCCCCTTCCGCGTGCTCTCTGTCTCTGCCCTTCCTTCTCTCTCTCTCTCTCGCTCTCTCTCTTTCTTCCCCCCCTCATCTCTCTCTCTCTCTCTCTCTCTCTCTCAGCACAGGCAGCTTACCACCCTGGTCTGCTCTCCTCACGGGGAGTCCTGGAATGGCCTTGGCCCAGAGGGCTCACCAAAATGGCTCGCCGGAGGGGCGCCTGAGTGTGAGGCGCGAATCGAGCGGGGCTGGGACAGGGACCAATCCGTTCCAGAGCGTTCCAGAACGCTCTCAGAGCGTTCTGGACCGCTCTGAGAAGGCAGCGGCGCCCGAGACATCCTCCAGAGCCGCCGCTGGATCGCTGGATCTCAGCCTCACCCGAATGTATCCTCGCCCTGGCTTCATCTTGTCAGGGTCAAGCATTGATAGGGTTGGATAGGCACAGGGGGGGATGCATCGACCCACAATCGCCCATTCATCGCCCATAGGGGCCCGATAGCCCCAACCTGCCCAGGAGCGTGCTGATTTACTTTCGGGGGCCTATCTATCGCCGACCTATCGGCGAAAATATCGCCGATTCCAAGTCGATGTTCCCCCGCCTATGCCTGTCCCCCCCCTAATCGTCGCCCCTCATCTTAGCGGAGGTCATCGCGCCCCGCGCGTCACAGCCCGGGTTCGGGGAGGTGTCCTTCTCTCCAGGGCGGCCTCGCGCGCGCGCGGAGGCGCGTCGCGCATCGCGCCTCGCGGGGGTGGGGGGGGGGGGGGGGCGAAGTGCGGCCTCCAACGGACCTCCAGGGGGGTTTTTGGGTGTTGCCTTTTGGGGGTGTCTCGGGGAGCTCATGTCAGGTTTTCTTTTGTCGACAAACATTATGTGTTAATCGGATGCCCCTGAGGGGGCAGACACCGCCGCCCCACCTTTTTTGGATCGTGCATGTTTGGGAGGGAAGTGGAGACTGTGGGAGGGTGGGTGGAGGAACAGGAGGACAATTGAAATGATTCCAGAGGGCGAGAAGGGGTGTACGATGGCCCCAGAGGGTGTCCCAGAACGCGACCAAACTGGCAATTGGAATGATCCCAGAGCGAGAGGGAGGTGGAAGATGGGCCCATAGGGTTTGCAAAGACGCCAGAAGGATGCGGAGAGTGCTCCAGGAGGTTGCAAAAACATTGCGCAAGGGCACCCAAGGGTGTGGAACAGTGCGGACGACACCGAAGAGGGATACGGAGAGGCTGAAAACAGCATCACCAGTTAGTTTTGGGGCCTCGGAAGGGCTCTCCAGGAGGGACCCCCTGCGCGCGCCCAAGACCGCTCACGACAGAAACAAAAAGGAGTCGAGACGGGCGTGCAGGGCCCCGACAGGCTGTCAGGGCGGCCGCAGAGAGCACCCGCATGTTCCAAGATGGCCGCCGCAAGAGCCCTTCAAGATACACGGGAGCTCCAAGAGAGGCGCCGGGAACAGCCCAGTAAGGACAGAATCGTCAGAATTTGATGTGTTTTACAATGTAGTTTGCGTGTGGGTGGTTTCTGATGTATGAGACTCGAAGAGAGGTGGAGAGGCATCTGGGACGGCCGTTGATGGCCCGAAGGGCGGTCAAGATCAGCCTAGAAAGAGCCCCGAGAGGCCTCCAAATTCGGCCCAGTGGGCTCCCAGAGACGTGTCTGAGAGAGCCGGTGGTGCTCAGAAGCCGAGCACGTGAAAGGGGCGCCGTTTTGGGACGGAAGTGATCGCAAAAAGGCAGCCACGCCGCAGCCCAGGCCCCCTGGCCGGCGGAATGAGCAGGTCGCGGGGGGGAACCCCAGGAGGGATTACAAGGGCTGTGAGGAAGGGCATGGGTACGAAGAGTGCGTGGGCAAGGGGCCGAGGGGAAAGAACTCGTGCAGACCGTGCGGCGGCGATCTCACACGCCGTACCCAGTGGGGCGGCGGATCGCTTTGCTCATTCCGCCGGCCCGTCTTGTTTCCATCGAGTGCGTTTGTTTGCGCGTTCGTGGCCTCTTGCGGGCCGCTTGGGGGCCCTGTTGGGGTTTCTTTTTGGGCCTCCTGGGTGGTCTCCAGTGGCGCCTTTGGGGTGTCTCGCGGGGCTCTTGTCACTCCTTTTTTCCCCCTCGGCAAGCATAATCCTTATATTGCAGTTAGCAGCCTGATGCGGGAAGGTCAGGGGCAACAGCTTATACAGGTGGGTATACACGGATTGCCCTGCAAGCGTCAGGCAGGCCCAGGACCTTCAGGGTGTAGGGTTTAGTGCCCAGTAGCCCCGCTCGAAGCCTGCTGGGCGTGTCCCACCCACTCAAGACCCATAACATACAGAACTCATCGCGTCGACGACAACGACTCAGCGCCAAGCGACTTGTTCAGCGTTTATGCAACGATCGTTTATGCAACGGTTCGATGGCCGATGCAGTGGCGGTGCGGGACAAGATCCAGACGACCAGCGGGTTGCTCTCCACAGCAGTTTGCCGACGCATTGGCGATGCGTAGCGCAGCTTGGCACGTCGCTAGAGACCGAATTTCGCTTCGGAGCTAACGCGCGAATCCGTTGGGTCGCGCTTTCGACCTCGACCGCTATCGGTGGCGAGGAGCTAGCGCTAGTCGAGCCCACAGGTAGAACTCAGGCTGACGCCGGTGCTGCGCTCCGCCAAATAGAAAAGCCAGCCGTTGTCCGCCGCCGAGGTGTAGACCTTCCCCAAGTGTCGGGGAGCGCCCGCGAGCGCATCGAAGCGCCTGGGAGCACCCAGGGAGCGCCTGGGAAGCCCGCAAGCGCCTGGGAAACGCCCGCGAGCGCTTGGAAGCGCTTAAGGAGCGCCTGGGAAACGCCCGCGAGCGCCTGGAAACGCTGGGGGCCGCTGGGGAACGCCGGGGAAGCGCCTGGCAGCGTATGGGCAACGCCTGGGCAAAGCTTGGGATCGCCTGGGAAGCGCTGGGGAGCGCTTGGGAGCACCTGGTGAGCGAGCATTTGGAAGCGCGTTTGGGCTCTTTCAAGCGCTCGGGAACGCTTGGGGGGCGCCAGGGAACGCCTGGGGACGACGCGAGGCGCCTGGCTCGGAAGTGATGTTGGCTCCACTTCCTTAGGCAGGGGATGTTAGTGTGGGAATATCGCCCCCTTGTGATAGAATTC